TCGATCTCTTGAGGTCTAGCAGCACAAACCAATGTCAGATTCGGATTTAGCGCAGTCGATTACCTATAGTCCACTAGATTTCAAGCAAAAAGCGATTGCACACTTGGGGACCTTTCCTCGTTAGTCTATACATTGTTCAAAAGTGGTCGCAATTGATTTTCTTGATATCGTACAAGAACCAATAAATTAGATCTAAGCTTTATTCTTCCAGACTAGAAGTGAAAAGAAATTCATTACAGTACTCTAAAACTTAAACTGTCGAAAAACACAAAACCAATTTTGTACGAATACGGACTTGAATCATATGAAAAACTAAATTCATTTTGTGTATGATTTGTTTTAAGTATAAGTGATCGGTTCACAAAGTGTTATGGCTGTTTGAAAACGTTGTGCCAAATCGGTATAGAAATAATTTGTTGCTTTATTTCGCGAACACAGTGAACCATGTTGTACCAAATCATATCGATTCAAACATTTTGTTGAACGTAAAAATTCTCTGAAAAAATAAAAGACAAATAAATAATAGAACAGTAGTATCGAATATAAGTTTTTCTTACGTTAATAAATATTGAAAAAAAAGATTAGATATTTACTTGCAATGTGTTGGAAACAAATCGTCAAATGAATATAAACATCGCTCCAAGACTTGATGATTTAGACGTACTGGATCACAATCTTGATGATCTAAAATGAGATAAAGATTATAAATATTAAATCTGAGCGATAAAACGACGGTGCAGATTTAAAGTCCATTTGAATCATCTTTCTCATCTAACAGGTCAATCTGACATTTCGAATACTTTATGTACATCAACACGTGAATGAATTTAAAATCTTAATATCAAGTACAATTCCTCTTTTAAATTTTTGAATATCTTTTCTCAGAGTCACAATCATTTAATTTTAAGTTTTTGGAAAAGATATGTTGAATTTTGTATAAATCTCATACACTTTCAATTGTTCTATATACCTTCTATTGAACATGAACTCATTATCATCTTCCAATAAATTTTCATATATTCAAATGAAAATGGATATTGTTGATATGAACATGGTTTGTTAGAAGCAAATAGTCCATAAACACATTGACGATATATTTCACTATTATTGTAGGCTCTAAATAAATAGTACTTTTAATAAAAAGTTCAATGTAAAGACTCATAACCTTGACAGCCAATAGAGAGCAGTACGATCCATTTAAAAGCGAACAGTTGGTAAACATTCTTTTGCTCACTCATATTATTAAGTGGTATGTAAATATTCTCTGTATTTAGAGTGAGTAGAGTCCTACTTGCATAATAAGCTCTCTTCTATATATGAACTATCGATTGTTGTTATATCAAATGCGTCATCAATATTCTCTTTATAACACTCAATTAAATGAGTATTTACTAAATTTTCATCGCATTGTTGACCTAAAACAGTCAAAAAACTACATTGTTACTAATGCCAGTTTAATAAATACGGTAATAACAATAGCAACATATAATATAATCCTTGATAAATATAGATCTTTTTCTCGTCACTAACAAAATGTAATTACTATTAAGGATAGGAAATATAAACGGAAAGTAATCAGATATGTATGTAGGTGTTTTATTAACGAAACATTCAATAGATTATATTTATTATTTTATTGTACATTAGGACCTAGTAGATGACATTTCTAAATGCATCGTTTCTGCCCATTAGTTCTTTTTAGAACAACATAAACCAAACAAAAAGAAAGTTGTAACCATATGACATACAAATCTACAATCAAGACGGTGTCTGCGTTGTGTTCTTACCCGACACATGTTATCTTTTTTTTTTCTCAAGAGTATTTCTAGCTCAAACAAAAAGCAAATAGTTAAAAAAAGAAACAATAACTAAAAATAAAGTATTTGGATACACTCAATTTTTCATTTTAAATCGTCGAACTTACATATACAAGATGCTATTAGTTACCCTAAAAGTTTTAAGAATTAATAATAGAAAAAAGATTAGGATACAATTCTAGATAATGTTTTTCTATTTAGATACCGAAATTACGCGAAAAAAAAAAGAAGTTAATAATATTCCTTACTTACTGTTACTAGCAAAGATTAATATAGCTGTAAATGAAAATAATATCTGTATAATCGATATGTAAATCATAGTTAATTGATGTTGTTCAATGACGGACAAGATTATTTAGATCTACAATGATGAAACCTACAACTGTGTAGTCTTTTATTAGTTTTTGATTAAAGAAAGAATGGTAATGATTCGTCTCATGAACATATTCCGAATTCATGTAGGAAAACAATACATTGAAATATTATAACTAGGGAAAAAGATAGCAGACCAATAATAAAATGCATTATAAAAAGAAAGTAAAAGAAAAAATTTCTTTCGAAATGTTGACAGTATTGGTTTTAGTCTTTCTCTTTTATTCTTTTACTCTATATTCTACTATTAACACCAAGACGAATATGGTATTGTGTGCATGTTGACACAATACATATTTGTTAGTTGAGAAAAACACGTAAGTATAAGTTCAATTAAAATAAAATGAAAAACTATTACGAAACCTCTTTTTCTTGCTTGCTCTATAATATAGTCCTATAATATAGTCTCAGAAATCAAACTTCATCATGATATACATTTACCTTTTAATGATACAATACTACGTATATATAGTATATATAGTCGATGATAATTACTTTGAACATACCCAAACATACTTTTAATAATTCAACAACAATTTTATTTGACAACATGAAAAAAATTGAGTTTCCGGCACGTATCCTTGATAAAAAAAAGAAAGAAAATAGTCATATGAATAGTGCCATCAAATCTTTTACTGTGTGAGATGAACAATAAAATGTAGAATTGAGTACTTAAATAACAAAAAAAAAAGGAAAAATGCGTGGACATCTTTCAGTGGCTCCGTACACAACAGGATTCACGATTTCACGATTAACTTGCTCTGTTTCTTCTAAAACTGAAATTTTATATTAGATATGTTACAATCTTTATATACACAGCTCAGTGGGAAAAGATTTGTTATAAAAACATATATCGATGGCCTGACTTGAAACTATTGTCATTTTAGTAAGGCGCTCCAAATTCGAAGTTGTAGCACTATTTTACTTTTGGGTTAGTCATACGTCATTCGATAGAGAACTTCACGCTGATCAAGAATATCTGGTTTTTATCCTTCCCAGTGCACATTATCAGT